AGAAGTGGCGCTGTGGCTCAAGTGGTAGAGCGCTAGCCTTGAGCTGAAGAGCTGAGGGACAGCGCCCAGGCCCAGAATTCAGGCCCCGCGACTGGACCCAAAAAAAAAAAAGAAACTAAAGCCCCAAATGAACTGACTTGCTTAAGGCCACCCGGCTGTTAAGAAACTGTGCAGTAACCAAGTGCATACCCAGGACTAACTTAGCTATAGACAGGGCAATGACAGGGCCCCCAGCTAACACAGGTGCTTCTTCGTCTTCTCTCCTCCTGTTGCACACCAACAGGTGCTCTAGGAATGTTAAGGTGTGCTTTTCAACTGAAAGGGGAAACTAGATTCATTTTGTCTTCCTTAAGATGATTTATCAGAGCTAAATAAACGTGCCTGTCATACAAAGAAAAGGATTTCAACAGCAGACTTAAAAATAGATACCCTCATAACTAATTTATCCTTGACAAATCCTTAAAGGAAAACAATACCTGAAAAATGTGTGATGCTCAACACAGACTTTCCATAATTTCTTAGCTGCTCGGTAACTAGGAAGTTTGAATCCAATGGTACTTTCATACTGTTCTTGCTACAAAGACACAAACAAACATGGAGCATGAACTATAATTGAGCTGCAGTGATACAGTACCAGAAAAATACTATCCTACCAAAAAATTATTGCAGGACTGGGAATGTGGCTTAGTGGTAGAGTGCTTGCCTAGCATACAATGAAACCCTGGGTTCGATTCCTCAGTACCACATAAACAGAAAAAGCCAGAAGTGGCACTGTGGCTCAAGTGGTAGAGTGCTAGCCTTGAACAAAAGAAGCTCAGGGACAGTGCTCAGGCCCTGAGTTCAAGCCCCAGGACTGGCAAAAAAAATCATTGCAAATACAAAGAATAGTATTAATTTAAGGAACATAAAGTACCATTTTCAAATTACCAAAAGAAATCTAGTCACAGAGGATGGCTTTTTCCAAAGCAAAAAAAAAAAACAAAAAAAACCAGTCAGAAAATGTATCTTATATAATTTATATATGTTATTTTTCTTCAGAAAACATTCATACAGGGCTGGGAAAGTGGCTCAGTGGTAGAACGCTTGCCTTGTATGCATGAGGCCCTGAGTTTGATTCCCCAGCACCACATAAGCAAAAAGAAAAAAAGCCGGAAGTGGCACTGTGGCTCAAGTGGTAGAGTGCTAGCCTTGAGCTGAAGAGCTGAGGGACAGCGCCCAAGCCCAGAGTTCAGGCCCCACGACCGGACTCCGCCCCCCCAAAAAATTCATATATAGACATATATACTGGGATTTTTTCGGAAACTTAACTAACTTTTGATTGTCTAGACACTGCTTTTCCCTAATCACTATGTATATTTGGGACATTAAGCCAGAGCCTCATACATATTCGATATCTTTTAGCTGTTTTCAAGAATATAGTACCTATACTGACCACATTGCACAATGGGTCTCTGGGATTTATTCCTCAGCTGTTTCTGCTAGTGCTGGGGCTTGAACTCTTTCTTTGTTTTAATTATAAATTTGTCTAGAATATTTCTTTGACCTAAGTAAACTATATCCTGCCAGGGCCACCAGCACCCCTGTCCTGCTGTCCTCTTATCCATCTGTTCCAACCTTAAGCATGGAAGACAGACAGTACATTTGTTTTGAATTCCTATTATTGCTATTATACTATGATTAGATAATATCATCTGTATTTTTCCACAAGAAACGGAAGTTGCAGTGACCCAGAATGTCACCTTCTCTACTGTACCTTGCTACTTCTAAAGCATCTACCATAGTCATAACACTCCACTTCTCAGAATCCTGTTGTTATTTAGTAAGGAAGGATTCTGGATTTTTAGTATACATTGAATAGTTGACATTTTGAAGTTAAAGACTTCCTATTGTTGTACTTATTAATATTTCCATGTTTATGTATTTCTCTGCCTTACCACAATAAAATGTAAGACTGAGGGATGAGATTCTTTTATTTCTATTGTATTACTTATCCTTGGAATATTGATTGGCAGGAAGAAAGACCTGGGTAAGAAGAAAGACCTTGGTTGAATAAAGGATTCAAAAATTTAAGGTAAGTTTTGGGGTTTTTTTTGTTTTTGTCAGTCATGGGTCCTGAACTCTGGGCTTAGGCACTGTTCCTGTGCTCTACTGCTTGAGCCACAGCACCACTTCCGGTTTTCTAGTGGTTTATTGCAGATAAAAGTCTCACGGACTTTCTTCTCGGGCTGGCTTTGAACCGAGATCCTCAGATCTCAGCTTCCTGAGTAGCTAGGATTACAGGTGTGAGCCACCAGTGCCCAGGCTTTAAGGTAAGTTTTAAATCCATGTGCATCAATAGAGACTATGCTCAAGTAAATACCTACAGTTTAAAATATGTACTTCAGTGATAATCTCTATCCAAGATTTTAAAGGCTGTACATCTACAATTTTCAGGCTTGAATAGTGAGGAATCTTTCACCAGCAGATGGCAATATATACACGGAAAAGCTACCTCACATTTAGTATGGTCTTTCTGTTTATAGTTTTCACAGCTATCATCTCATCTGAACTTCAAATCACTGAGATTAAGGAGGTATTTTCCTTATTGCATGATAAGGAAGCTGAACTTTGGGGTTTGTCTAGGGCCTTTTGTTTAGTAAGTGTCAGAGAAAGAGCTAGAGATTTGATGTTTTTATTCCTACATGAAAGAACTTTCTACTGTGCCCTGATAGCCCTTCAATATAAAAGTTAAAATTGACCATCATTATTGTATCTTCTAATTTGACCACTATTTAATAAATGAGTTTTCTGGTACAGATTTAAGCACCTATGTACATAGAAAATCTATATGCATGATGCCCTGGGTCCAATCTCCCCCTAAAATCTAGAACTTGACTTTAGAACACACTCTCAATAACATTATGTATACAAATAAATCTTAAATGTAGAAAGTAAGGGTTTAGTGGTATAAAACATGAGTAATCTGACCTTACAATTTTAAATTTTCACACTACTCAATTTCAAAATACTTTCCATTAAGTAAACAAGAACAAGTTTGCCACTGCAGGTTTTATTCTTGGCAATGATATATCTATATACAGGAGGAGCAATGCCCAGAAAACCAGTAGTAAGGAAGGAAAGAAGAATTACAGGACTGATCAATTTAGAAAACAAAATTATCTGCCTGTGAATAGTTAACTAAACAAACTCTTAGATTATCTAACAAAGAAAATGGGAAGAAATGTTTGCTTGATTGGTTTTGTTTGTTTTTGAGATGGGACCTTTCTAAGGAACCCAGGCTGAGACTCTCTGCCTCCTGAGTGCTAGGATTATAGGCGTGTACTAACTGGCCTGTTTTATACATGTTATATGGAAAGAAACAGGAATTCCGTACCTCTCCAGGCCGGATTTTGATGAAAAAGCTGCTACGTTTGTAGGAAATCTTTAGCACTTTGGGCCAAGGAAAACGGTTAATTCTCAACTTATCTTTGTAAACCAAAAGGCCACTAGAGCAGACACCTAGGATGATATCCACTCCCTCCAAGTCCTGAAAAAGAAAAGCACCACCATTTCAGTCTTATGCAAAGTCTCAACACATTATTGGCTATTATTAAATAATCTGAAGCAAGCAACAACTAAAACCAGTTACAAAGTAAACAACTGAAAATAAAGTTTAACTTATCATAATCAATAAGACTATTTTACCTAAGTCATCAGGTATGACTTCCTGGAGGCCAGGATTTAGAACTACCAAATATGCATGCACAGTATAATTCTTCGTTTTAATAAGGTGGTAATCCCTCCAGATATCATGTTAAGAGTTGACTCTATTTCTGTTCAAACTCAACCTAACAGAGTATCAGATACTCAAAACAGCTGATGTTAAGTATCCTTAATTATAAATATTAAACCTAAGTAGAGGGAATACCAAATAAAAATGGTCATATTTTCAAGCATCTTTATTATAGAAATTCTTTTAAATATTAGCCATCTATGTAATTCAAGGAAAATAAAGTTCACCTAAATTAATCCCGACAGATGACTATTACACTAACCAAAACCCAGCATTAAATACTTGAATATTTTTTCCTAAAATGAGTATAGAGAAAAAGATAAATGCTTAACATGAGTTATGCAGAAGAAAAGCAGATGCAAAAATTCTGTGCAGCTTCAATGCAGTGACTATGTTGCTGAGAATTTTCCAGAAGATGCCCTCATGTTTTTAGAGCCTTTGGGTAAATGAGATGCTTTGGAGAAAGAATTTGACATTTGGGAAAGGAACATGCTACCTGACTCCTTCATTCCTGACTGACACCAGCCTCCAGCAAGGAACTAGAAGTAAAACCTAACAATTTTAGTCCGTGAAACACACTTGATTTGTTGTACTGATATTCCTATCATCTACTTTAGAGACTACAGAGTTATAGATCTGTACCAAAACAATCCAGAACAACATCTTAAGGAAAAAAACCACAAACATTTAATGAAATTTTATTAGCACAGAACTTAAGGAAGAAACTGTCAGATACTCAGGCTGAGGGAACTCTTTTTTTTTTTTTGGCGGTGGTGGGCCTTGAACTCTGTGCCTGAGCGCTGTCCCTTAGCTCTTCAGCTCAAGGCTAGCGCTCTGCCACTTGAGCTACAGCGCCACTTCTGGTTTTCTGGTGGTTTATTGGAGATGAGTTTCACGGACCTTCATGGCCAGGCTGGCTTTGAACCGTGATCCTCAGATCTCAGCCTCCTGAGTAGCTAGGATTACAGGTGTGAACCACCTGCGCCTGGCAGGGGGAACTCTTGAAAGGTCATCACAGACCAAATGCTTAAGTGTTCTTTTCTAAATCCCCACTAAGTGATTATTCTGCATGTCCTGGAATACCTCTTAACAACAGCCCTCTATGCTGAGGTTGCTCATCTGATAGTTGAAGAGTTCTGCTAAACAATTTTTCAAATTGAGCTGATCTATGTTTCCCTATAGATAACACTTTACTCTCTAAGTATATAATTTGGAGCCATAGTAAAATCTCTACTTCACCTATCACTCCTTGAAATATGTGAATATAGATATAACATCTTCCCAGAACTTTATTTTTGTGGGTAAAATAGTGTTATTCTTTTGCTTATTTCCCATCTGGCATAGCTGTGAGTCTCCTTGTTAAGTATACAGTTATGCTGAGCCTCTGTTCTCTCCTTGAACTCTCCCTCACATCCTCTACAACTGCCCCAGCCATTTTAGAGGCTGAAGATAAGAGCCAAGCCAAGGCAAGTGCCTTATTATTCACTCTCTGTTACATGGTATTAGCCAGGATTAAAGCTCAGGTTTCTGATGCCCTAATCTAGTGCTTCTCAAATGAAACACTGTGGTTCACTTGTGCATTAGAATCACTTAGAGAGCACATTAGAACAGATTGTTGAGCTCCACCCTCAGCTTCTGATTCAATAAATCTAGAATGGGACCTGAAATGTGCATTTCTAACCAGTTGCTAGGTGCTACTAAGTGCTGCTGACTCAGATTCCACACACTGTGAACATCATTACCTTAGGCTAATGGTTCTTAGATTCAAGCATATATTAGAATACTTCAGGATGCTCATTAAATCTGGAGATTCAGTGGCCTCTCCTCCAAAGTCAGTGAAAATCGCGGAGGAGCTTGTGAATTTGCATATTTAGTAGACATACCAAGGTGATTTTATGGTATTGTTGACTTTCTTTACTAGTTAGTTGGAGATTAGAGTTTTTTGGACTTTGGTGCTCAGGCTGGCTTTGAACCAAGATCCTCAGATCTCAGCCTCCTAAGCAGCTAAAATTACAAGTGTGAGACACTCACACTGGCTGTTATATCTTTGGATCTTTACAGTGTTTGGTTATGAAAATTAATCTGATGGTAGAATTTTATACACAATTTATACACTTAAAATTCTAACAAAAACTACTTTTTCTCCTTCCTTCCTTCCTTCTCTTCTTTTCCTCCCTCCTTCCCTCCCTACTTTCCTGCCCCTCCTCTTTCATTTGAGCAAGCTTTTGCTATATAGGCCAAGATAGCTTCCAATTCAAGATCCTTCTCATTCCCTCCACTTCTACTTTTTGGCAATTAAAATACCACAGATATATCATGGTTCAGGTGGTAGAGTGCCTGCCACTGAGAATAATGCATTAATTAGATACTGAGTTTGAGTCCCAGTCTCTAATAAGAAAAAATTATTTAAATAAATAAAATACCACAGATAGATGTTGGCAAGAAGCATTATATGAAACAAGAATGATTTATTTATAATAGACCTGAATCATATAATGCATACACACACAAATTCATTAAAGCCAAAGTTTTCATTACCTTTGCTTTATGAAGATCAACTCCATACATAGACAACTTTTTGGCATTCTCAAGAAATTCTAAGTCAGCCTGAGCAGGAGTCATGGACCTATGATTGAATAAAAATGAAAAATTTAGTGTCATAGTATCACATATATGTTAACAGCAATTATATAATCAATTCACCTCATGTAAACACACAACACACATACATACATATGTATAAATATAGATGTAAATACATATGCACACATATATACATATGTGTACATATGGTGTATGTAATATGTGTATATCAATGTATATGTAAAATATATTTCAGAGTCCTGAAATTAATTATGGAATGGGAATCTTCTTTTTTTTTTTTTTGTCTTTTCTTTTTTGGTACTGGGGATCGAACGCAGGACGTTGCACTTGCTAGGCAAGCACTTTGCCACTGAGCTACATCCCAGCCCTGGAATGGGAATCTTCTTATGACCTGTGTCTTACAAAATGAGATCTTGAGGAAACAAAAAGTTGCCAATAGAGCGCTGGCCTTGAGCTGACGAGCTAAGGGACAGCACCCAGGCCCAGGCGGAGTTCAAGCCCCAGCCCCCCCAAAAAAAGAAAAAATTTTGCCAAGAAGCAATCAGAATTTTTTTAATCCTACTATAAGCAATTTTTCATTTTTCCATTATAAGCTATCCCATCCATCCAACAGTTCTGTATCCCCTCTCTTCAGCCTTTCTCTGCCCCATATTTAAACTCCTCCCACTAATTTTCTTGCCAAGGAGATGACCAAATTAAATCCTCAGAGGGCATGGTGCAATTTACAATATCCTCTTAGCTGCCTTTTTCTCTCTATACCCCTGAATTGAGTTATTATGGAAATTAAACCAGAGGGCAGCTGATGTTACTTAACCGAGACTCTTAATGGGGGCAGGTTTGATGAAAAGAAAATTTCTGGTAACAGATGGTGTCCTGCCCACTAATCTAAACAAAATAAATTGGTTAATAGAAGCACACAGATAATAACACTGCTTTCTGTTATTAAGATGTCTTTATTACCAGGCAAATAATGAATAAGATTTGTTTAAAAACAATCAGTCTCTGTCTAAACATTCACTACAAAGGTTCTTCCTTCTTTAGAAGGTTCTTTTCTTTTGAAAAATGCTTATGAGCTACTATACTGAGCTTTCAAGACATAAATATCACTTCTAATACTGCACACTTCAGGCCAATTAATTATAATTTCATAGTAAAAACAATGCAGCCACCTCTCTAAGGGAAAAAATGGAAATGCTGATAGTCAACAAGACAAAATATCACTTCTAATACTGCACAATTCAGGCCAATTAATTATAATTTCATAGTAAAAACAATGCAGCCACCTCCCTAAGGGAAAAAATGGAAATGCTAGTCTCCCATAAGACTGCCTAAGTTATAGAAAGCAGCAAGGGTCTCATCATTTAACAAGGAAAAGTCTTCCAAACCCATCTGTCTTCACCCTCATTAAAAAGAACAAAGGATGCCTTGGAACAGCAAGCAAAGGAAAAAAACAGAAGTGGGGGGACCTCTGAAGTGAGGTTACAGATTTGTTGATAAATAAACTCAGCCTATCTGAGCAAACTTCACAAGCATTAACACATCATGCTGAATTTATTTATTTTTGTCAAGGCAATTTACATTTGGGCAAAAGATAAAATACTGTTGGTCTAGGGGCTGGGAAGGTGGCTCAGTGGTAGAGCGCTTGCCTTGCATGCCAGAGGCCCTGGGTTCGATTCCTCAGCACCACATAAGCAAAAAGAAAAAAGCCGGAAGTGGCGCCGTGGCTCAAGTGGTAGAGCTCTAGCTTTGAGCTGAAGAGCTGAGGGACAGCGCCCAGGCCCAGAGTTCAGGCCCCTTGACCGGACCCCAAAAAAAAAATACTGCTGGTCTATCCAGAGTTAAGCAGGCACACTGAACAGGGAAGTTTACTAGTTATTCAAGTCAAAATATCTCAGGGAAGTTTTTGTAGCTGTAATTTATTTTCTCATACAAATAATATTTTTCTAGTTAAGGTTACTTCCAGTTATTTTAATTTTTCATTGTTATTATGTGTGCACACACTAGTCCTGAGGCTTGGGCTGGGAAGGTGGCTATGTGGTAGAGTGCTTGCCTTGCATGCATGAGGCCCTGGGTTCGATTCCTCAGCACCACATAAGCAAAAAAGAAAAAACCGGAAGTGGTGCTGTGGCTCAAGTGGTAGAGCACTAGCCTTGAGCTGAAGAGCTGAGGGACAGCACCCAGGCCCAGAGTTCAGGCCCCACAACCGGACCAAAAAAACAAAAACAAAAAAACTAGTCCTGAGGCTTGAACTCAAGACCACAAGTGCTGTCCCTGAGGTTTTGTGCTCAAGGCTACAACTTGACCCTCAGCTCTACTTCTGGCTTTATAGTGGTCAATTGGAGATAAGAGTCTCAGACTTACACTATGTTGAAAAATGAACTTTACAGTTTAGGCAGGGGAGGGGGGAGAGGAGGAGAAAGGGAGGAATATAGTTGAGGAGGTGGGAGGGAAGAGATGGTAGGGGAAACACAAAGGAGGCAACAATTCTTGATAAGAAATGGTACTCTTTACCTTGCTCAGGTAACTGTAACCCCTCTGTACAGTATTATCACAATAAAAAAACTTAAGCTGGGCGACGGTGGCTCCTGCCTGTAATCCTAGAGACTCAGGAGGCTGAGATCTGAGGATCATGGTTCAAAGCCAGGCAGAAAAGTCCGTGAGACTCTGATCTCCAGAAAACCACTAGAAAACCAGAAGTGGTGCTGTGGTTCAAGAGGTAGAGCACTCATCTTGAGCTAAAGAGCGCAGGGACAGCGCCCAGGCCCAGAGTTCAAGCCCAATGACCGACAAAAACAAAAAACTTATTAAAAAAGAAAAAAGAGCCTCAGACTTTCCTGCTTGGAGTGGCTTTAAACCATGATCCTCAGATCTCAGTCTCCTGAATAGCTTGGATTACAGGTGTATTATTCATTTATTACTTACTTATGTCACTATGGACTCATAGGTGGTGTTGTTTTGTTTTGCAGTGTTAGGGAGGGATGGAAATTAGCACCTTATATATGCTGAGCTATATCCCAGGTGAATTCTCATTTTATGCAATGCAATAGAATGGATTGTTTTCCTTGTTTATTTTCCTGCTTAATTTGTCCCAAATTTGATTAGGGTAGGCTTCTCAAGCTAGATACTCTGTCCTTCTAAACATTTCAAATCATTTATGGATCATCTTCTTCCAGCACAATGTAAAGTATATGGGTATGTATGTATAAATCTGCATTTCTCTATCCATCTGCGCGTCTATACATGGGAAATCAGGAATTAACATTGAAATCTCAAGTGTTAATGCAATGTCACAGTGTTCATTTTAGTTTTTTCCTTTTCATAAACTGCATATTATTTTACCAACTCTCATTTTGATTATTTTGACTAATTTGATCTATTGGCCCATCCCACAAATCCTATATAAAGCCTGGCACCAGTGGCTCCCACCTGTAATCCTAGCTACTCAGGAGGCTGAAATGTGAGGACTGCAGTTAAAGACAGCCCAGGCAAGAAAGGCCATGAAATTCTTTTTTTTTTTATTGTCTTCTAAAGATGCTGCACAGAGGGGTTACAGTTACTGAAGTAAGGCAATGAGTACATCTCTTGTTGAACATTGTTATTCCTTCCCTTGTTGTTTCCCACTATCCCTTCCCTCCCCCACCTCCTCCCCCATCCAACCCAACCCAAGTTGTAAAGTTCATTTCCAATATACTGTCTTGTGGGTATCATTGTTGCAATGGGTCATGCTGTGTCCTTGTTTCATCGTTTTGGTATTCCCCAGGGCCATGAGATTCTTACCTACAATTAACTACCCCCCACACACACATACATACAAAACACACACAGCTGGAAGTGGAGCTATGGCTCACTTGAGCACAAAAATGCTAGCATTGAACACAAAAACTCAGTGGTTGTGCCATGCCCTGAGTTCAAGCCCCAATACTAGCACAGAAAAAATAAGTAAATAACATAAAATCCCATATATAATGAATTTCATTGCTACCACTGGTTCCTGATATATATGCCTTCCTCATCCTATATAGACTCTCTGCTGGCCTGCTCCCCACATATAGATTGCTTTCCTTTCAGCACTGATTCAATGTTAAACCACCTCTTAGGGATCTTCATCACCCTGTTCATCTGTAAAGTTTCCATCTCTACCCTACATAGGTCCTTCTTGCTCTGCATGGCCCCTGAAACCCTCCAGCAAGTACCCAAATGTGACCTTATCCATTTGAGCATTAATTCCTCATGCCAGGCTGGCTTTAAGTTCACAAACACCTTCCTTATTCTGCTTAGGCCTCAAAATCTTAAGCCAGAGTGCTCCTGTACATGCGTGATTTCCTTGCTCTGTCCCATCTAATGAACCAGAAAGATTTTTCTAATTATAAAAATCATACACATTTTTGTCACATAAAATTTGAAAATGTTATTAAAAGCACACAAAAAAGGTCAGGAAAATCTCCTATAACCCCACCAGCCAAAGATGTCTGTGCATGTAACTACAACACATATTTTATTAATATCACACATACTGCTTAAATTATCTTTCATCTTAAAATATAAAGACTATAAAGTTTTTCTTAAAATTTCTAAGACCTTTCAAAAATCCTAACAATCCAGCTGCACAAAGATGAGATATCTTTAAGCCATTAAGAGTAATGTTAAGCAGCCTTGAGCAAAAAAGTAAAGCAAAAACACTTCAGCCCCCAGTACTTGCATGAAAAAAAAAAAAAAAAAACAAGAGCAAAGAGTACTGTTAAGGTCAGGTATCTGTGGCTCACACTTGTAATCCTAACTGTGCGAGAGACTTAAGATCTGAGGATCGAGGCTCAAAGCCAGCCTGAAAAGAAAAGTCTGTGAGACTTCATCAAAATAATCAGTAGAGGGGCTGGGAAGATGGTTGAGGGGTAGAGCGCTTGCCTTGCATGCCTGAGGCCCTGGGTTCAATTCCTCAGCACCACATAAGAAAAAAGAAAAAAGCCGGAGTGGCACTGTGGCTCAAGTGATAGAGCGCTAGCCTTGAGCTGAAGAGGTGAGGGACAGCGCCCAGGCCCAGAGTTCTAGAAGTGTGATTCAAATGGTAAAGTATCAGCTTACCAAGCAAACTCACCAAGTGTGAGGTCTTGAATTAAAATCTTAGTACTGACCAAATAAGAAAAGGAAGTAGTATTCAGAATTAATTAACATTTCATAATTTACTATTCATAAATACTACAGATTACAAAAGTACTCAATCTGAGACATCTAGAACTGGCTAATTCTTTATTATTACAAAGAGTATTTGAGACAATTTTCCTGTATTGATTTTAAAGAAATGAAATCGGGAGAGCCATTCAGTAAATTGCAGTTTTATGTGACAACATTGTAATAATGTCTGTTGCAACTTCTAATTAGGATTGTGATTTCAAATAATTAAGTCAAGGATAACTGACAAGTTTACATACCTTCTTACTACCCATAAACAGAGAGCAATTAATTTTAAGGCTTGATTTGCGAGTATTAATTTGAAGAGTTAATTATAGCTTCAAAAATCCCTGGCTGGGAAAAGGGCCACTACTACATTTTTCACTTACATATTTGTCTTCTATTTGTCTGGGGAGTAGGAAAGGCATTCATAGTAAAATAAATAGTTGTGTCTTAGCAGAAGTATCTTTGGGATGGTTAAAATCCTATGATGTTGGACATAATTAAATTTTCTATTTGGGTTTCTTCTTGAAATGATTGCTCATCTTTCCAAAAAATGAGCAAGAAAATTACATAATGCAGACTTCCAAATTTTCATTTTTCAGGTCAGATAACTGAAATTTAAGTATAGCAAAAGTCACATAGCAAACAAGGGAGAAAGCCTGAATTCAAAAAAGGACAGCCTGGGAGCTGGGAAGGTGGTAGAGCGCTTGCCTTGCATGCCTGAGGCCCTGGGTTTGATTCCTCAGCACCACATAAGCAAAAAGAAAAAAGCCAGAAGTGGCGCTATGACTCAAGTGGTAGAGCGCTAGCCTTGAGCTGAAGAGCTGAGGGATTGCGCCCAGGCCCAGAGTTCAGGCCCCACAACCGGACCGCCCCTCCCCCCCAAAAAAAAGACAGCCTGACTACACAGCCAATGGCTTTGACAATGTATCTTACTGCCTCTCTCTCTCTCTCTCTCTCTCATCGATCATGGGGCTTGAGCTATGGGCCTGAGCACTGTCCTCAGCTCTTCAGCTTAGGCTAGTGCTTCCACTTAAGTCACAGCACCACTTCCTGTTTTCCAGTGGTTTATTGGAGATAAGAATCTCATGGACTGTCCTGACTGGTCTAGCTTAGAACCTGGATCCTCAGCTCTCAGCCTCCTTAGTAGCTAGGATTACAGGTATGAGCCACCGGCACCCAGCTTCTCATTTTTTTGATAACTCCAAAGTACTCTTCATTATATGAACATCATTGATCTTCAGTAAGAAAATTTAAAACTAAGGAATTTTAAAATAATGATTTATTAAATATCTAAATACAATAATAAACCCATTTTTGTACCATTAGTAACATCTGTATAAAATAACCAGAGTTGAGAATTTGAAATAGTCTTTTTTTTTTTTTGTCGGTTGTGGGCCTGAACTCTGGGCCTGGGCACTGTCCCTCAGCTCTTCAGCTCAAGGTTAGCCTTCTACCACTTGAGCCACAGTGCCACTTCCAGCTTTTTCTGCTTATGTGGTGCTGAAGAATCGAACCCAGGGCCTCACGCATGCAAGGCAAGCACTCTACCACTGAGCCACCTTCCCAGCCCTGAAATAGTCTTCATTGATAGTATACAAAACCTTAACAATAGCAATTTCTTGCCAGGTACTGGTGGCATACATCTATAATCCTAGCTACTCAGAGATCTGAGGATCATGGTTGGAAGCCAGTTTAGGCAAGAAAGTCCATGAGACTCTAATCTCCAATAAACTACTTAGAAAAAGGCAGAAGTGGTACTTAGGCTCACATGGTAGAGTGCTAGCCTTGAGCAAAAGAAATTCAGGGACTGCGCTTGGCCCCTGAATTCAAGCCCTAGGACTGGTACCAAAAACAAAAAGCAATTTTTTAAACATTGATAACAATGTGAAATCTGAAAACACATAATAAACCTTTTTATAACTGACAGGGGCTAGTACTAGAGCTTGAACTCAGGCCCTTATCTTGCTTGGCTTTTTCACTCAAAACTAGACCTTGGCCACTTGAACCACACCTCACTTCCTGCATTTTGCTACTTAATTGGAGATAAGAGTCTTGATTGGAGATAGAAGAGTTTTTCAGCCTCCTGAGTAGCCAGAATTAACAGGCCTGAGCCACTATCACCTGGCTAAAATATATATAATTTAGAAGTAAGATTAATTTAAAATACCATCAATCTCAGCAGAAAAATCTTTATGTGTTTGGAAAATATCTAGATCATGACAGTATATGGAAGTTTTCCAAAATTCAAATTTATTTTTAAAGATACAGGCCCAAGCTGGCTCCCAAATCCTTAGCTAAAACGATCCTCCTGCTTCAGATTGCCAAGTAACTAGAACTATAGGAATGTACCATTCTGCCAAACTAAAATTTTAATTCTTACTTGAAGGCTTGAATTTTGTTACTATCAACAAATACTGTTAGTTGTTTTTGTTTTTCATTTTTTCCTAAAAGTACTGGCTCCTTTCATTTTTGAGAAAATGTATACTTTATAACCAAGTCTAAATAATCACAGTTTATTTTTATTTTTCAGAAGAAAAGAATACTAAAAGGTGGTTAATTCAGCTCACAGTCACAGGAGTGTTTTCCTCAAGGAAACTGTTGTAATTCAGTATTCAGCAGGAATATTGTGTGCACTTTTCACTAAGTCACAGAACACTAAATTGGAATATGTTTAATACTTAATAAAATCAACACTTTTGATATTTCATTAAGATTATTCTTGAAATGGGGATATAGCTCATGGATAAAGCACCTGTTTAGACATTAAAAAAAAAAAGAACATAAAACTCAAGTGAGTTTCTTCTTCTTCCTCTTCTTCTTCTTTTTGGTGGTAGTGTGGTTTGAACTCAAGGCCTCATGTTTGCTAGGCAGAAGCTCCATTACTTGAGCCATGACCCCAGCCCCTTTTGCTTTAGTTACTTTTTTGATAGGGCATCAAGTTTTTGCCCTGGCCAACTTGAACTACAATCCTCCTGTTTATACTTTCCTTTTTTGCTGGGATGACAGATACACATCCCCATGTCCAGCTACTAATTCAGTACGATCTTGCTAACTTTTTGCCTGAGCTTGTCTTGAACAGTGATCCTCCTAATCTTTACCTCCCAAATAGCTGGGATTATGAGTATGAGTCACTGCACTCAGCCTTCAAAGAAGTTTTAAGTGAATCATCTAAGGTCACAAAGTTGAGACAAAGCAGAGGCAAGATTTCAAAACAGCTTAGACTAATTATAAGCCCCAGCCTTTGATCACTGTTATGATACAGCCTAATGTTACCAATTATTTTCATAAAAATAAGTAGTGGAGACAGTGAATTTAATAGACTTGAAAAATATTTTCAGGGATTTCCTAAGCCCTCTACCCATGTACATAGAACCCAAGTTTAAAAACCTCATGCTCTTGAGGACAGTGAGGTAAATTTAAAACCTAGGGAAAAGAAAAAAAGCAAGGCAGCTAGGCACTGATGGCTCCTGCATATATATAATCCTAGCTACTCAGGCAGCTGAGATCTGAGACTGCAGTCAAAGCCCTCCCAGGCAAGAAAGTCTATGAGGCTCTTATCTACAGTTACTATCAAAAAGCCAGAAGTAGAGTTGTGGCTCAAATGACAGAATACTAGCTTTCAGTGAAAAGGCTAAGGGGACAGGACTCAGGTCCTTAATTCAAGCCTCAGCACCAGTGCGTGCATGCGTGTGCGCACAGACACAGACGCACAGACACACAGACACACAGACACACAGACACACACACACACACACACACACACAGAGCCAGGCACCTACTATGTGCCAGCCCCTGTGCTAAATGTTTCAGATATATTACTTCATTTAGTTCCCATCCTACAATATGATGCCCATTACTCTAATGAGAAAACTGAGGTGCAAAGAGCTTAAGGGACTTCCCCAGTGTCAAACAAAAGGAAATGAACTCATGTTCTTTCCATTGTACCATGATTCCCCTTAAGTAGACAAGTCAAGGGTTTAAATTTACTGCCAAAATAGAACAAATCCTGGAGACATATTCACCTGTATGATTTGTGTAGTTCCATGACCTTCTCTTCAAGTTCCTTGGTCTGATTGGGAGCCAGTTTAAAATCACTAACATAATCCACACCATGAAGTTCTGCATCATAGTCTCCCAGCTCAGACTGGATGGTGTAAGAACCTAGTAATGCTAAGGTTGCAAAGGAACAGGGCAGACGTCCTTCAACGATATCCTGACGAAGCTGAAGACATAGGTAATACCTACAGCCAAAAATGAAAATATATTTACATGCCAGCAACAAGAAAAAGATAGAGACAGAAAGAAAAGGGGAATGAGAGAGAGGAAGAGGAAGAAAAGAGATTCAATGAATAACATAGAGTTGTTCAGTCTAGGTAAATGGTCACATAGCTGTTCATTGTAGTATTTCTTCCTTTCTGTGTGCTTAAAATATTAAAAAAAATACCATAATTTTGGAAAGCAGTTTAGAAGGAAAAGTTGGAAAAATCTGAAAAAGATAAAGAAACTAATACTTCGTTGAGTGCATAGTATTGAGAACCATACATACATAATTGTCCAATCATCATAAAAAAGAAATCCTGCAAGATGGGTGCCAGATTATACATGAGGAGGCAGCCCCAGGAATTTAGCTTGCTCTGCTGGTAAGAAAAGCTGTTTGGTGCAAAAGTAGCTCCCTCCTCCTCTATTATGCTGCTTTGCAAAGTATATAACTATGCCAGTCCTTTCAAAACAAAGATGACATTAGTGATACATATTTCCTCCCATAGGAGGGATGGGATAAGTGACATGTAGCCTTCCACACACATTCTCAAGTATTTTGTAGGACTAGATCCCCTGTATGCTAACCTGTTGGGATTTCAGATGCATTTAAAATATTCAAGGCGGGCTGGGAAGGTGGCTCAGTGGTAGAGCGCTTGCCTTGCATGCATGAGGCCCTGGGTTCGATTCCTCAGCACCACATAAGCAAAAGGAAAAAAGCCAGAAGTGGCGTTGTGGCTCAAGTGGTAGAGCGCTAGCCTTGAGCTGAAGAGCTGAGGGACAGCACCCAGGCCTAGAGTTCAGGCCCCACGACCGGACCCCCCCCAAAAAAAATTCAAGGCAATCATGCTATTCAGTAGACACTATGTGGAAAATAAACTATGTAACCTGTGCACAGGGATAAGAGGGGAATAGATGGGGTGGCATTGTCCAAAAAAGAATGTACTCATTATTTGATTTATGAAATGGTAACCCCTCTGTATAATACCTTAATAATAATAATATAATTATATTAAAAATATTCAATCCAATAAAACAACTGAGTGCTCTATCATGTACAGATATGTGTATCAGTTGATGTTCACACCTCTGGCCCTGATTTCCTTACCGTAGGTCCTAAGTGATTGAATTAACCATCTGGGACTACTATGCCAGACAGAAAAGTGATTAAATTAACAATTCCTTTACTTTAATTAGAACCACATCCTTGTTTTTACCATAATAGGTTACTGAACATCATTCTTAACAATAGTTTTTGCTATCTATAATTAGTCACCAAATATATATACATGTATATATATATATACATATATATATATATATATATATATATAAAATACATATATAAGCTGGGTGCCAATGGCTCATGCCTCTAATCCTAGCTACTCAGGAGGCTGAGATCTGAGGATCATGGTCCAGAGCCAGCCCAGGCAGGAAAGTCCCTGAGATTCTTATCTCCAATAAACCACTAGAAAACTAGATGTGGCACTGTGGCTCAAGTGGTAGAGCGCTCACCTTGAGCTGAAGAGCGCAGGGACAGCGTCCAGGCCCAGAGTTCAAGCCTCATGGCCGACAAAAAAAAAAAGAATATATATATATATATATGATTATAATTATATGTGTATGTGTGTATAAAGTCAGATCAATACCAGAAGAAGTTCAGCCACTTTAAGATGTAATTAGGAAAGCTTTTTAGAGCTAAGCTTTGTTTTATACAGAGTGAACCTGGATAGAAAAAGAAAAGTGGCTAAGAGACAAATATTACTTGTGAAAATGAAATATTGATTTTTCTCAAAGAGAGATGTTACTTATCTTTAAGAATGCATTATAGATAACTGGACAACAAAATAATCTTTACAAAAGCTATAAACTTTCTTAAGAGTCAGGTTTTAAGAGTTTATTCCATTATTTGAAAAATATATAAACTAAGGCCTAGAGAATATAATTACCTGAAATCAAATGGTTGGTAGCAAAATCAGAATTGGAAAGTGACTTCTCAGCAACTAACAATTCAATTTAGCAAATAGTTGCCTAGCACCTATGAGGCATAAGAATCCATGAGTGGTATAGATGTAAGTATGTACAGTAGTACTCCTTCTAATATATTGCTTTTTCCATGTTTTTGTTAGCATTTTAATAAAATTCAAAAGAAGTTATTTCTTAAGAGAAATCAGTTTGTTGTTTTAAGGAATACAAGGTCTGTTTTATAAGTAAGTGGGCTTGAAAGAAGTTTAAGTTCATTAAAACATGTACCTAATCATGCAGCTTAAATGGGAGATAAAAAGAAATAATAGGCCTGAGATTTTAGCATTTCTGATCACTGTAAGAGGAGGAATATAGCCAATGGAGGTAGAGGGGAGCAAACAAACTTTTGGCATTTTGACATTTGTGTCCTGGCCTCTTGAGGGTGCTGTGGTTTAAAAGAGCTCTGTTCACCATTTGGCAGAATACCATGATAAGCAAGACTAGTTCCCTTGCCAGTTTCTTCCAGGAAGGTCAAATATTTTAAGCTTTTAGGCTCACTTATCTATAAACCTGCCTTGAGATGAACAGAAACTTTCTATTTTAGGCTAATCACTTAATAGCTCATGACTTTTATTTAATTCTGTAGAGGAAAGGTCCCAGAGTATGTGACAATGAAAATTACTATTACATATTTAACTGTAATATATGTAATATTGATTGTTTACCTTGTTATGTCTTCTGTTAACTGTGCTGGGTCAGGTGGGTAAAACTTTACATTAAATGTGAAATTCCAAGGGACACCTGTAAAAATAAAGTAAGGAATTCTATGTTTATGCTTAAGTTTCTGATTGTTAGGATAACCTTGAAATACTCAATCTTTTTTTTCTGTAATTTTTGTTTGTTTGGTGCCAGTCCTAGGGCTTGAACTCAGGGCCAAGATGCTGTTCTTAAGATTTTTTTGCTCAAAACTAGCACTCTACCACTTGACCCACAGTTCCACTTCCAGCTTTTATGGCAGTTAATTGGAGATAAAAGTCTCATGGACTTTTCTGCCCAGACTGGCTTTGAACTATGATCCTCAGATCTCAGCCTCCTGAATAACAAGGATTATAGGCATGAGCCACCAATGCCTGGATTTTCTGTAATTTTTGTACAAAACATTTTCACACTTTATAATTAAAAATAATATTAAAGAAGGTTGTCTGACTTTATGTGGGGAACATGGAGGCCCTCTCTCTCTCTCTAATCTGACTTAATTTACAAGGGATTAGAAGTACATGGGCAAAACAACACAGAAACATCCATCCTCTAGATCAACTTGTTTGTAGCAAATCATTTTAAGATATGATCAATATATTACTCTGGGTCCTCAGAAATCATTCAGATGACCAAAGGATGTTCTTTTTCAGTTTTTCTATTATTTATTTGTGGTATCTGTCAATATTATTACAAATAAAAGCATTCTTCTCATTAGTATGAGTGAGATTAGAAGAGTATTTTAGAAGTAAGAAGGAAGGGCTGGGAAGGTGGCTCAGTGGTAGAGTGCTTGCTTCGCATTCATAAGGCCCTGGATTGATTGGATTCCTCAGCACCACATACACAGAAAAAGCCAGAAGTGACGCTGTGGCTCAAGTGGTAGAGAGCTAGCCTTGAGCTGAAGAGCTGAGGGACAGCGCCCAGGCTCAGAGTTCAAGCCCCATGACTGACCAAAAAAAAAAAAAAAGAAAGAAGAAGGAAGAAGTAGAAGAGCCAGGAATGTTGGAGCATGACAGTTATCCAGGAAGGATGAGGCAGGAGGATCATGTAATTGAGACCAGCTTGAGTGAAATAGCAAATCCCTGTCAGTGGAAGGGGGTAGAAGCAGATAGAAGAAGCAATATAGAAACTATGGCTCCAGGTTACTTTAGGTGAAAAAAAATAGAAGAATTCAATCCCAAGATCGGAGATTATGAGTGAGTCAAAGGAAAATGGAGGATGCATTTTATCAATCGGGGGCTCTTTATTTTCACTCTAGATAGATAGATAGATAGATAGATAGATAGATAGATAGATAGAGAGATAGAGAGATAGAGAGATAGAGAGATAGATAAAAAAGTACCAGTCTAAAGGAGTTTTGATTTTCTATTTTAAAAAGTTAAAACAATAATAAAATTATAAAGGAAAACATTTCACCATGACAGAAGTGTTTCATTTTAACAAACAAATGAAAGCAAAATTTGTATTCAGTGATAGAATTAAAATATATTCACCATGATGAATAATTAATTACTAGTACATTTCCTGGAAGTTTCTTGGAAAATAAACTAAATGAAAAAAATGTCTCTAACACCTCCTCAGTTAATCATGGGGTTCGAACTCAGGGCCTGAGCATTTGTCCCTCAGCTCTTTTGCTCAAGGCTAGCATTCACCACTTTGAGCCACAGCACCACTTCCAGTTTTCTGGTGGATAATTGGAGATAAGTGTTTCATGGACTTTCCTGCCCAGGCTGGCTTTGAATAGCAATCCTCTGATCTCAGCCTCCTAAGTAGCTAGGATTACAGGCATGAGCCACCAGCACCTGGCTGTAACTGCAAAATACTAATCTATATTTTTCATTCCAGAACACCAATCTGTGCAGCATATGCAGCAGTAAGATATGCTTTGGAGCTAGGAATGAAGACATAATGTCAGCAAACTCCACCTAGTAGGTTACTGCAGTATTTCAGAACAGACTCATATCATATTCCTTTTCTCATTTTTGTTCTTCTCCACCTCTGTTACTCTCCTGTTCCTATCTTTCCCAGTTTTGCCTAGTTGTAAAAGAGAAAAGAAAGAAAGAAAGAAAAGCCATGATCTGACCTATATATCAATAATGTCTACCTTTACTGCATTTTTCTATTATGGAATCTCTTTCCAGGGGGAAAGCTTTATCTTAGTTTCAAAGCAATCTACAATAGTCAGATTCTAAAGTGACTGACTCACAGCCAGAAGTGACTGGAAATCCTCTGACCTACTAAAAGAAAAAAAGGGCTATATCCACTTACCTCGAACCTGCTTTTTTATTTCTTTGGCAGAATCCAGCCATGTCTAGAAAAAGAAGAAAAGGTATTCACACAGAGTTCCAAAACACATAGAGTACTGGAGGTAGGATCACTGACTACTTTGGAAAATGACCTTCAGATCAACCTACATTCCCCTTCATAGTCTTTGCATTAATTGTACGAAGCAGAGAAAACAGGAGCCAGAAGTTGACATGAATCCAAGTTCTATTATGTCTTAGCTAAGTAACTTTAGGAGTTCAGTACCTCAGTTCTCCTCTATAAAATGAGATCTAGCTAGTAGTATTCACCTCATAACTTTAATATATGTAAATCTGTCAGAAAGCAGTAAATGTGAAATAAGGCTTTGCTAGTTAGATTATTTGGTAAAAAACTAATAAAGATCTACAACCAAAATTGACTGATATACAAATCATTTTTCCCCTTTCAACCCTGACCTTTGGTTTTGTTCAAGATTTTTGTTAGCACAGCACTTGATACATACTAGTGCCCAGTTAATGTTTACTGAATGAATGTTTTGTCCTCTGACTACTAGTGCCCAGTGTAACCTCACCCTTCAGTGTTCCCCTATTTAAGGCTACATGCCACTAGGATAAAGGCTTCTCAACCTAAGGTGTCCCACACAAAATAAATGGCACTTAAAAAGCTATTAATGTCTTTCATAGTTGCCTTTGAGAAATAAAGACAAAAAGTAGTGAGCTGCTGTTGAGCACTGGTAGCTCACACTCATAATCCTAGCTATTCAGGAGGCTGAGATGGAAAAATAAACTGGTAATCTGACTTTGGAAATTGTCTCAAATTTGCTATTAAAGTTGAACATATTGGAAGTGACGCTGTGGCTCAAGAGCGCTCGCCTTGAGCTTCAGAGCGCAGGGACAGCACCCAAACCCAGAGTTCAAGCCCCGCAACCAACCAAAAAAAAAAAAAAATTGAACATATTATACCTTCTCTGAAACCCAACAGCTCCACTTCAATGTCTACCCTGACAGAAATATATATGGCAATATGTGCCAAAAGACATATACAGGAATGTTTCAACAACAATATTCACAAAAGCCTAAAGTGCCAAATGTATGCCAATAGCAGAATGCACAAATAAAGAACAATATCATCATACAATGAACGGTGATCCAACAGTGAGAATGAACTACTGCTATTTGTAACAGCATGCATAAATCTTGAAAATGTAAGATTGAACAAATGAAGCTAAGAGAGAATACATGGGGTGATCTCATTTACATAAAGTTTAAAAACAGGCAAAATTAACTGATGGTAAAGAACTTGCTGACATGAAGAAGTAAATTTTGACAGGAGAGAAATAGTATCTGCAAGGAGTCACAAAGGGAAATTCTGGAGGGGTTCTGGTAATATTGGATTTTTTAATCTTCAGGATATTCACACAGATGTGTTTAATTTGTAAAAGCTTTTCAAGAGGTATAATTTACATACTTTCTTATAGTAAGTTATACTAATAAGCAGGGAGTGAATCAAGATAATATATGCAAACTGATTTTCCAAACAGAATGGTTGTATAGTCAACAGCATAAGGCAAGACTTAATTTGCAAAACAACAAATGTTAAGAGGACAAGTTCCTCTTAAGTTACCCAATAAAATAGTCATTCTGGGCTGGGAATGTGGCTGAGTGGTAGAGTACTTGCCTAGCCTGCATGAAACCCTGGGTTCAATTTCTTAGTACCACATAAACAGAAAAAGCCAGAAGTGGCACTGTGGCTCAAATGGCAGAGTGCTAGCCTTGAGCAAAAGAAGTTCAGGGACAGTGCCTAGGCTCTGAGTTTAAGCCCCAAGACTGGCAAAAAAAAAAAAAAAGTTATTCTGAATAATGCAGTTTCTATTTGAATACTTTCCATGGTTGAGATTTCGTTTCAAGAATCCATTTTGCTAACCACAGCTTGTGAGTTAACACATTTATATTTCAAACATAATTTAAGTTTGTGCATTAATGGAAGAATCACCTTCTAGGCTGAAGGCATGGCTCAGTGGTAGAGCATCTGCCTCCTAAGCAAGAGGCCTTAAGTTCAAACCCTAGTACCATCAGAAAAACAAACAAACAAAAACAGGAACACATTCCTTTTTGAGTTTTAAAAGTTTCCAAGTAGCTAGGTGCTGTTGGCTCATGCCTATAATCCTAGCTACTCAGGAGGCTGAAATCTGATAATTAAGATTCGTCAGCAGAAAAGTTCATGAGACTCTTATCTCCTGCAAACTACTCAGAGAAAGCCAGAAGCAGTGTTGTTTCTCAAGTGATAAAGTTCTAGCCTTGATTAAAAGCAGCTCAGGGACAGCATCCACACTCTAAATTCAAGCCTCAGGACCAACACACACACAAGTTTCCAAGCAATACAGAGATGAAGATTAGCAGTATTTTTGCCTAAATTAGTATATGAGAATATGAAAATAGGTATGTGAGTATGTGAGTCTGCCTGTGGAAGCCTTAGTATGTTTGGCATTGGGGAACTGTGCAAACACTAACATTAATCAGAGGCACATTGGTTCTGCTTAGGGAAATGCTGGCTGAGCCTCCTCAGTAGAGCAGAGAGCATCTGTTTTTAGACCTTAGTAGCCTTCCCATTTCCTCAGTGCATGTGCAATTTGGGTTTAGAAAGGGGAACTGCCAGCTGGCTTGCTACAGATTTTAAATGTGTGTTCCTTTAATGTTTGAGTTTATTCAGCAGCTTATGGGTTTAGTAACTCCAAAATATTTTATTGAGAAACTACTTCAAATCTAAATTTGCACTGCTCATTTTTCTTACCAAACTCCTCTCAGTATGACAAGGGTAAAGTCAAAGAATCCTGATCATTTTTTCAGGGGAGACCTAATTTGTGATTGGTCTGTGGCACTGCAGTGAAGTATTTTGTATCAGGAATGTGTATACTATTACCTACTTCACTGTTCACAAGCTGAGTCATTCGTAAATAGTCTAGATTTCATTTCCATAGTTTTGCATTTTTATAGCCTGTTTCTAAAGATTAACACGTCTGCTAGATGATTGACTTGATCATGGCCTAATCTAGTGTACTTTACAGAAAGCTTGCTATAACTATAAATGTAAATCATAAATTGGAAAAGAGATGTGATAATAGCAGGATAAAATTTAAAATTGTTATTCTTTTTATGCCCGTCCTGAGGCTTGAACTCAGGGCCTGGACACTGTCCTTAAGCTTTTGTGCTTAAGGCTAGCATTCTGTCACTTGAGCCACATGGCTTTTTGGTAGTTAATTGGAGATAAGAGTCTCATGACTTTCCTGCCCAAGCTGGATTTGAACCATGACCCTCAGATTTCAGCCTTCTGAGTAGCTAGCATTACAGGCATGAGCCACCAGCATCCAGCTTTAAAAGTGTAAAAACAAACTAAGTATACGATGTCTTGGAAAAGTAAATATAAAACAATTGTTTTTATTTTTTGGTCAAATTCTTATATTGCATATAGTCTACTTACCTTAGTGGTTGCATTATCCCAAATGGCCAGACCAAAGTAGTCTTCCTCCAAAAGATTGAGGTGCTCACATACTCGTTTAAGCAAATCTTGACCTTTAGCATGTTTCTGAAAAGATAAATGTATTTCAGTTGAGGTGTCCTCTCATTCTTACATTCCTCTCCCCTATCTCCTCCTACTCCCCCCCAACACACACACACATACACAAAATTATTTTTAACTTTCAGTTTTGGTAACTAACAAACTTTCACATAGCTTACACAGTCTTAAGTAAAACAGTATGAGTTATAAAATTCCTGTTCCTTAGTTTGTCAGCTTACATACAGCACAATTACAATGCCTTGGAAATGGTAACAATGCAAAGGAAAACCTTACCTTCCACTCGTGTGTGTGTGTCTGTGTGTCTGTGTGTCTGTGTCTGTGTGTGTGGCTTAAACTCAGAGCCTGGTCATTGTCCTTGAACTCTTTTTGCCCAAGGCTAGTGCTCTACCACTTTGAGCCATAGTACCACTTCTGGTTTTCTGGTGGTTAACTAGAGATAAAAGTCTCATGGATTTTCCTGTCCTGGCTGGCTTTGAACTATGATCCTCAGATCTCAGTCTCCTGAGTAGCTAGGACTACAGATGTGAGCCACCAATACCTAGCTTTTTTTTTTTAACCTAGAAGCTGGCTATCTAGCCTCAAATTCATTATCCTTCTACCTCAGCTTCCCAAGTGTTGGGAAGTATGTGCCTCACTACATGCATTAAAGTGCTACATTCTATTTTTTATTAGTATACATTAGTTATGCAAGGGAGAGATTTAATAGTGACATTTCCATGCAAATGTGCAATGTATTCCACTCAATTTCCATTCCTCCATCACTTTCCCTTAACCCCTTCTGTGCTTCCTAATTCAATTTCAACAGGTTTCATTGTTCTATTTTCATATATACAATAATCTATTTCAACCATATTTGTCCTCTTTCACCATTGTTAACCCAACCCCCTCTCACTAATACCTACCCCCAAAAGAGTCTGTTTCTCTTTATTCTCTCTCCAACCCATTTATCAACAGCTTTCACTGAGGTTTATTTTTCCTTTCATTTCAGCTTCTTGTTTGAGTTGTATGTGTTGTGCGTACACACGCATGCACGTGTATGCACACACTGGCACTGGGCTTGAACCAGGCACTTTCCCTTAGTTTTTTCACTCAAGGCCAGCATTCTACCATTTGAGCCACAGCTCCACTTCTAGATCTTTGATAGTTAATTGGAGATAAATCTCACAGACCTTCTTGCCCACTCTGTCTTTGAACCATTATCCTGAGATCTCATCCTCCTGAGGAGCTAGATTTTATAGGCATGACCCACTGGCTCCTGGCTTTCTCACTGAGGTTCTTTTTCTTTTGTCAGTCATGGGGCTTGAACTCAGGGCCTGGGTGCTGTCCCTGAGCTCTTTTGCTTAAGGCTAGCGCTCTACCACCTGAGCCACAGCACCAGTTCTGGTTTTCTGGTGGTTAATTGGAGATAAGAGTCTCATGGACTTTCCTGCCTGGGATGTCCTTGAATTGCAGTCCTCAGATCCTAGCCTTCTGAGTAGCTAGGATTATAAGAATGAGCCACCAGAACCCAGCTCATTGAGGGTCTTTATGCTATTTTCGTATGTAGTTGTATGGTATCTCAAAATTATTTATCCTCTTCCCTTTCCCTTTCTCCAGTGGCTCATACCTGTAATCCTAGCTACTGAGGAGGCTGAGCTCTGAAGATCACAGTTCAAAGCCAGCCAGGGCTGTGAGACTCTCACCTCCAATTAACCACTAGAAAATTGGATGGAAGTGGTTCTGTGGCTCAAAGTGGTAGAGCACTAGCCATGAACAGAATAGCTCAAGGACAGCACCCAGACCCTGAGTTCAAGCCCCACAACCAACAACAAAAAGAAAAGTGACAAATAACATTATTTTTGGTGCCATATTTACTGAAGCATACTATGAGACACTATCATTCACTGTGATTAACTGACTTACTGAATTAACCTGTCAACAATGAGTTAATTGTGACCTTTTTTTTGGGGGGGGGGGAGTCCAGTCATGGGGCCTGAACTCTGGGCCTGGGCACTGTCCCTCAGCTCTTCAGCTCAAGGCTAGCACTCTACCACTTGAGCCACAGTGCCACTTCCAGCTTTTTCTGCTTATGTGGTGCTGAGGAATCGAACCCAGGGCCTCATGCATGCAAGGCAAGCACTCTACCACTGAGCCACTTTCCCAGCCTCAAAATTATAATTTTTTTAAAGTTCCAAAACTCACAGGTTCAAAAAAAATATCAAAAGGTGGTTTTTTTTTTGAGAAAAATAATTATCTTCATTTACTCACCTTAGTTTTAATAGCTTCTTTACCATAAAAATAACATTCAATCCTATACCTGCTGGGTGTATTATGAAATAAGCATAATGTGCACGTTGTGCCTCTCTAAATTGCAATCCATTCTGAGTTCTAAAATATACTTGTTCCCAAGTGCTCCAGGTATCAGGGCCCATATCTAGACATTGGTCTGTCTAAATGAGAAAAATATATACAGAGTAGCTTTCTACAGTAGCTATTAGCAAGAAGCAGAAAAGGCAGGTCCTAAGTCTTGTCCAGTTTCCGGGTATAGCAGCTATTTTTATAGCTCAGTAGCACATTTTCTTAATTTCCTTTTTTAAAACCTGAAGAATGAATACCTATCAGTAAATAGTATAATATTTTTAGACTATTTGTGACTAGATATATTTGCATTTTCACAATATTCAGTTCAGAAGTAATTTGTTGTATACCTAAAACAGGAATGAATTACATGTTTTATTAATAAAAGCTATCAGCAATCACAATAATTTCTCATCTATCAGCATATCATAATTGACAATTTATTGCTGTAGTTAAAACAAAGAACTAATAGATGTTTTATTTCAAATTCTCCTGAAGGAACAAAAGAAACTGAGTAATTGACATTTTTATTCAATCCTGATTCAATTATTTATTGTTTCATAAAATGTTAGAAGGGCCTAGAGACATGTCTCGAGTGCTGGAGGATTGCCTAGGAAGCTCGTGGCCCTGAGATGAATCCCCAGTACATCAAAAGAAATAAAGAGATAATTCAAGTTAGTACTAGAGTAATTCCATAAGATGTTAGAGAATTTTTTTAAAAATAGGATTATTTGACTTACATTTTTATTTTTTATTTATTTTTATTAGCTTATATTAGTTATCGACTTATATTTTATATGTTATCTCATGGGGCTAAAGATACACATTTATTAAGTGAAAGATTAAGCTTTAGATCTTGAAGAGCAGATACCTTACTGAAAGCAATAGTTTTTACAAATATAATTATAGGAACATCCATACCTAATACAGAAACTGACATTATCTTGGGAAATCTGTTAATAAAAAAGGCATTCTACAAATAACAAATTTATCTTTTTAAAAATAAAATTATTGCCAGGAGTCAATGGTTCAAACCTGTAATCAGGAGGCTGAGATCTAGGATCGTGGTTCAAAACCAGCCCGGGCAGGAAAGTTTGTGAGACTCTTATCGCCAATAAACCACCAGAAAATCAGAAGTGGTGCTGTGGCTGAAATGGGAGAACACTGCCTTCAGCTGAAGAGCTGATGGACAGCACTCAGGTCCAGAGTTCAAGCCCCACGACCAACAAAACATAAAATAAAAATAAGTAAATAATAAAAAAAATTTATTGTAAGAATAACATATTTAGTCAAAAGGCTTTGGTAGTTTTTTTGTAAATAGAAGAAAAGAAGAGTGACTTATATTCCTCCCATATCCTCATTTCCAGAAAACAGTTTCTGTGGAGTAGGTCTTGAGCAAAGGCACAATTTCCCTAAGTCCACATGAAACAGTCTACAGAAGTTCTGATTACTCACCTCCACAACACACTCATAAACAGTGTCGTCCAATAAAGAAATCTTGCAGTGCATGTTTCTGTGCCTTCTGACTGATTTCTGGGAAGCTTTTAATTCTCTTTCTGCTTTCGATTCAGGATTTTCTTTTACTTCTGTTTTGGAACACTCTTCAATTTCTTCTCCTTCTTTAGTTTCAGAATCTAGATCTTCTCTGTGTTCTTCTTGAACTGGCTACACAACCATGATATCACCAGTTAGTAAAAACAACACTTTACAAAACATTACATATATACTTTACCTACAATAATCTTACTAATGAAAATACTAATTGAAGAAGAAAAACTATTAAAATAAATATGGGTGACATTGATACTAATTATTTTTCTATAAAAGGTATTATAAACCTCTACAGACATTACTATTTTTAAAACTTTTTAAGTAGAATCCCATCAAATCAATACATGATGGTTAAGCAAATACACCATTCTGATCCACTATTTTTTTTATTTCAAAAGGCCTAAAATAATTTATTCCTTTGAACAATATTATTTGGAGATTTTATTAATAATAAAATTGTTTCTTTTTAAATAAATACCTGTATATATAGTTTATCTCAATTCCAAACTGTCTTGATGAGATTTTAGTTAAATCTAAAATTAACTTTGTCATTTATTTCCTGCATTTAAGTACATATCTATGATCTTTAGACAAAATAAATAAATTCTAGTTCAAATGCTAACAAGATATAACTTATTTCCTACATAAAACAGAAGAGAAATATTTTTAAATGTTTTAAAATTTTAATGTACTAAATGTATTTTAATGTATTAAAACATTTAAAAATTTTTTAAAGTTCCAGACTTACTGAAAGATAATGTACTTTAACACTTTTCATTTTCCAAAACTCAAATTAAATCAAATTAATGCTATTAAAATGATATAGGGGGAAAAAGGTGATATAGCAGCTTTTTATTCTAAATTTTAAGATATTTATTTTATAAAAGCTTGTATGACAATGTCTAAAAGTATATATAGTTTCTTGTTTCTTTTTGTCTTTACTGTTAGTGTTTATTTACTAATAATAAGGAATTAAGTGTTCACTATATTTCAAGCTTCCATATTTATTTCTTTCATTCCTCACTCTCGTAAGGAATAAAATGAGGTGGCTATTACTATCTGCATGGTACAAGGAAGAAATAAATGATAAAGTGAAAAGTATCACTTTTCTGATTCCATAGCTTGCATTCATAATTATTATTAACATAAGGAACCTCATTTTCAACTTTCACTAACAATTACATAATTACTACTTTATTCTAATTGCATCCTTAGTGCTCTGAATATGTTTCTAGAAATACATGCAATATTTTTAGAAAAGTTTAATAATATAACCCAAATCTTATCTCTATAATAGAAACACATAGGGGACAACACTTTTAATAACATAGAGAATGTTCACACATTTCAGAAATAAGACTTTGAAAATAATTCTTTGTAAGTAGTAAAGCTAAAAACTAATGAGATTCCTATAAAAGTTTGAGTAAAGCATGACTATTTCCCTGTTTTTTGAACAAAGGAATAACTCCTGTTCATTTCAATTACACTGTGATAAAGTTAAAGCCCTATACTAAAAAAGACCACATGAGTTATAGAAAGAACTAGACTTTCTCATGGACTTATGCTCTCAGACTCATTAGAGATGATCAAAATAAGGTAGGCTTTAGCTGATGCCTATCCCAGTCCTAATTCCACCAAAATGACTGCCAAACTACCTCACTTCTTTTTTGGCCTCTCATTAAAAATCTTGAACTTGCCAGGCACGGGTGGTTCACGCCTGAAATCCTAGCTACTCAGGAGACTGAGATCTGAGAATTGCGGTTCAAAGCCAGGAAAGTACATGAAACTTTTATCCCCAATAAAACCACCAGAAAACTGGAAGTGGCGCTGTTGCTCATGTGGTAGAGTGCTCTCCTTGAGCTGCGCCCAGGCCCAAAGTCCAAGCCCCATGATCAGCCCTCCCCACCCAAAAAAAGAAAAAAAATCTTGAACTTAATCCATGATTATAGTAAAGGGATAAATGAACTGAACAAGGTAACTTGATAGTTTTTAAATTTTTTCTTTCCTTTGACTATAAAAATCAAATTTCCACTGACTATATTTCTTTTTTTAAAAAAGATTTTTTTTTTATTGGAAATGGCACTGTGGCTCAAGTGGTGGAGCGCTCGCCTTGAGCTGAAGAGCTGAGGGACAGTGCCCAAGCCCAGAGTTCAAGCCCCACAACTAAAAATAAAATAAAATAAAATTTATTGTCAAGGTTATATACAGAGGGGTTACAATTACATAAGTAAGATAATAAGTTCATTTCTTGTCAAACTTCTTACCGCATTTTTCTCCTACTTTCCCTCCCTATTAATTTCTTTAGAAAACAAAAACTCCAGAGTTTCATGTTACTTATCACTACTGTTGCCCAAGTCAACTGGCTAAGTAATAAAGCAAATGTCTTTCCATTAAAAATAAAGTACATAGCCTGCCTTCGTGTACCCATCTCCACCTAGTCATACATCCATACCTGTGTTTCTGCACTGCTTAATGAATGAAGATCCAAAGATGGGTCTGTTTTGAGTTCAGGTTCAGGAGCTGCAATTGGGGCCTTTAAAATTATATCTTCATCAAGACTGGTTCCAAATTCTATCTCTTTCTGACCTACTTCTCCTTTTTCTTTTTCTGCCTCTGCCTCTTTGGCTTCTTCCTCAGAGACTTGAGATTTGGGTCTTTTGAGAAATGAGGAGAGCAGTCTTGACAGGCCCCTGCTTTCTGATGTTCGTTCCTTGTTCCTGGTCAAGTCTTCATGTGTGGGAGTGTCTCCATTGGATGCTTTCAGTTTCTGCTCACACTGATTATCTCCCTCAGCTGCCTGGGAAGCCTCTTCCAGCTGAGCTTCTTGTTGGTGTGAGTTTGTGGCTCCCTCACCCTCTTCCTTCTGTTGTTGGTGCTGAGAATTTTCAGCCTCAACAACTAAACCCTTCTCTGTTGTCATGATGTTGCTATTTTAAAAAGATGGAAAAGGGGAACTCTTATAAGCAAAACACTGTTGTAGACCAAATTCCCAAACCCCAAAAGATCAATATATTTATATATTAATATAATTTGATATTTAGATATTAATACATGTAGATTTAATATGTTTATATATTTAATCACTAATAAACTGAATTCCAATCCATGAAATTTCAATTGAAACAAAAGTACTTTACCTTTACATTCTGAATAAATGATTTATGTCCAAGTCATTAAAGATTATGCCCATAGAGATTAGCTTAAAATAATACATACTAGGGACATTTAATGAAATATACCATAATTGAACTCATTACTCAGAACTTTATATTTGAAATTAAGTCTTTTCTTCCCCAAAATAGCATCTTATTTTTTGCATATTGTCCTTTGAGAGTTTCAATATAAGCTTCAGAATTTGTAGGAAATATTTGCTGCAAAACTGTCCACACTACAAGAAATGGTTAAATTAAAATGTTCCCCGTCTTTTTTTTTTCAATGCTATGCTGGGATTGAACCAAGGGCCTTTTGCTGTTAGCCAAGTGCACTACCACTGAGTTATATCTCCACTTTTAAGTTCCCCAAGTCTTCATTAATCTTTTATTTCATTTTTTTTTTCTGGTTGTGGGGCTTGAACTCTGGGCCTGGGCGCTGTCCCTCAGCTCTTCAGCTCAAGGTGTGTTAGTGAAATGAGCTCTCTTCCCATAACTTAGTACCCTCCTTCCCTTCTCCACAGCTTAGCATGCTCCCTTCCTAGGCAACACTAGGTCCATGTAGTAAAGGCAGTAAATAATCAACCTCCAAACCCCCTTTACCTTGGGATGGCACTTCTCTGGGGCAGCTACCACCATATAAGGCAACAAGAGCCCCTTAGAGTGACTTTCAGATCTGGGCAGTTGCAGGACCCCTTACCTACTATTTGGATAGCAGCCATAAATCCTAGTCCACCATGATGAAGCCCCTGGCCCACATGTCCACACCAGGGTCTCTGCCTCCTAGCCCCATCTAGCCCCTCCTAAACTTCCTAGGCTATATAGGTCACCTCAGACAATACCCAGCACTTCTCACTTCTCCCTGTGAGAAAGGGTCTTGCTGGCCCCTTTCCCGGCAATAAATCTTCCTTTGTTCTCTGTACCTGGATGTCTGTGTGGTTCTCTGGCAAAGTCTAATCTTACCCTATCAGGGTGAAGGCTCTACCACTTGAGCCACAGCACCACTTCCAGTTTTCTGATGGTTAATTGGAGATAAGAGTCTCGCAGACATCCCTGCCCATGCTGGCTTTGAACCACAATCCTCAGATTTCAGCCTCCTGAGTAGCTAGGATTACAGGCAAGATGCCTGGCGAGTTCCAACATTTTGATGTCAAAAATTCCAGTATTATTAGTCAAGCCTTAAAATAAGAGACAAAGAACATTGTCACACTATTTACTAAAGAACAGCCAACGCTAGGAAGGTGGCTCAGTGGTAGAGTGCTTGCCTTGCATGCATGAGGCCCTGGGTTCAATTCCTCAGCACCACATAAGCAGAAAAACCTGGAAGTGGCGCTGTGGGCTCAAGTGGTAGAGTGCTGGCTTTGAGCTGAAGAGTTCAGGGACAGCATTCAGGCCCAGAGTTCAGGCCCCATGACCGACAAAAAAAAAAAGAATAGCCAACATATAGAAAGGGCCAGGCTCATGTCTGTAGTCCTAGCTAATGGAGGCCCAGAATGTGAAATATGGTTCAAAGCTAGCTACCACAGAAAAGTTCCTGAGACTTCCTCTTTACCCACAGCAAGACAGAGTGGTACTTGTCTATCATCCTAAACTATGTGAAAGGCTAATACTGAGAGGATCTAGGCCAGCCTGGACAGAAAATGTCCATAAGACTGGTCTCCATAGAGAGAAGCTGGAAGAGGTGGCACACTACAGGAAGCTTATAATTAGTGAATCTATGTCCAGGCACACACTTAAGCAGAAAGCAAAACTCTATCTCAAAAATAACCAATAGCCAGTGGCTCGTGCCTGTAATCCTAGCTACTCAGGAGGCTGAGATCTGAGAATTGTGGTTCAAAGCCAGCCCAGGCAGGAAAAGTCCGTGAAACTCTTATTTCCAATAAACCACTAGAAAACCAGAAGTGGCTGTGGCTCAAGCAGTAGAGTGCTCTCCTTGAGCTGAAGAGCGCAAGGACAGTGCCAAAGCCCAGAGGTCAAGCCCCATGACCGACAAATAATAATAACAACAATAATAATAATAATCAATAAAGGTAGCTCATGTCTGTAATTCTAGCTACTAAGGAGACTGAGATCTGATGATCGAGGTTCAAAGCCAGCCAAGGTAGGAAAGTCCATGAGATTCTAATTTCCAAATAACCACTAGAAAACCAGAAGTAGCACTATGGCTCAAAGTGGTAGAGTGCTAGCCTTGCACGAAAAAGTTCAGAGACAGTGCCCAGGACCTGAGTTAAAGCCCCACAACCGCCAAAAAAAAAAATCAGTAAAAGGCAGGCAGGGATGGAATTGTGTCTGGGGGTGGGGGCAGAAGGAAGCAGGGAAAGTGGATAGCCTAAAAAAAAAAATTCTATGAACCATTTACTAAAAACTCAAATAACAGGCTTGCATAGTGGGACACAACTCCCAATATTTGGGAAGTAGAGGCAAGATTACAAATTCAATGCCAGCCTGGGGTACACAGTAAGAACCTATCTCAGAAATAAAGGAAAAATTTTAAATTATAGAAGTTCAAACTTACTCTGATAAATTAGTTATACATGTAATCAAAGACTTAACATTACAAATGACAGGATGAGTAACCAGAAGATACAAAGAAGTCAAGCAGCAAAAATAGGACAAATGTTCTACAAACAGGCTCTTCTTGTGTAAATGATACTATTTGCATCCTGGATACAAACATCTAAAAGAAGGTGTCTATTTACTTGATGTCACAAAGAGGTCTTTGATTTAAAAAAAAAAATTGGCACAGCACTGAAAACAAAGGATGAGTTCCCATTCCATCTCAATCCTAATCCTCCAAACCCTAGGAATTATACCCCATCTGGTATCAAAGATGCACTTGTTTTAATAGTGGGCATCTGTTATTTTCAGGCAAATGAAAACCCTACACTGAGCAGGTTGGGAAGGCCAAAATGAGATCTTCCCTCTTTCTTTAAAAAAATCTCGTTCTAATATTAGCTACACTAATGCTTTGTGGGTGGGAAACTTCATAAAAACAGTACAATTTGACAGCATTGTGAAGATTTCCCTCACTATCAACATTATAAAGTTTAATTATTTAATTGTTGATAAGGCTCTTAAAATTATGTCACTGAGCATCTATTAATATTTACTGGGTGCCAACTAGGAATAAGGTTTTAACTCAGCTCTCTGAGGGCCACAAAAGAATGTAGTTATTAAGGTGGTAAGAAATATACACAAATAATTAAAGCATAGGGCAATATCTCATGATGAATTCAGCATTATGAGTAAAATCAACTATGTGACACAGAACTGAAAGTAAGAGCTTCAACCAGAGCAATCAAGAAAAGCTAGGTTGAAAAGGTGGCTTTTCAGATATTGAAGGATGAGTACAGCTGTCAATAGAAACATTGAAGTGTAATGAACAAAAGGAATTCCAGGCAGGGGAACTGAAATGAATATGAATGTTATAGCCAGGCATGGTGACATATGCCTGTAATCCCAGCTACATCACACACACACACACACATACACACACACATACACACATGTCTGAGTGCCTCAAGAAATAGGAAAAATTCCAAAGTAGGGGAAGGAGATAAGTGATAAAGGGACTAAGTCTGATCAAGATAATTATATGCATATACGGACATGTCAAAATAAACATCTTTGTACAATTAATTGATAATAAAAATGTAAAGAAAATCACAAATTGTTTGGAATAGCATTACAATAGGACAGTAGGAAAAATGTGAGAACTGAGTTATTTAAAATTAGATACCAATTGAAATAATCACAGCTGCTATTACTTATGTAGTGACTACCAGATATTCTAAATGTTTTATTTTACTATGTCATCTTACAATCATTTTATTAAGTAGACATTCTCATTTCCCAAATAAATTAACAGTGCTGGTTAAAACAAATTTGTCTCAGTTCATAGAGCTTAGGCCATGCTTTATAGTGAAACCATTACTATACTAGAAGGTGATGATTCTACTGAAAACTCTCAGGCTAATTAGTAGCCCTAAACTTGACACAGATGCTTCTACTCCAGAGGTGCTTCACTATTGTTGAGAAAGTACAGGCAGTTTGTTCAACCTAGCCAAGGTCACTTTCATTCCCATTTGTTCCAACTTGCACATCTTTGTACATATTTGTAGTTATGTGAAAACAGAATGGAGAAACAGGGTGATAATAGTTTAGGAAGGACCTCAATGCTGTGCTTAACAGTTTCGACTTATTCTGAAAGCAGTGGAAAGCCGATGAACAATTTTAAATGCAGAGTGAGAGTGGAGGCAGAGAAAGTCCACAAGTAGTTGGGTAAATTCTGGTCACTGGTGAATACACACAATGGGAAAATCTAGGGAAGCTGAAACCAATATTGGGCAGAGAAACTTGAAAAGCTGCTGTTCGCCCAATGCTTCAAAATTACAGTTTCCTTCAGTCTCTCTAGCTTATTCCTATTCCTCCTTAATGAGAAGCATTCTAATAAGAATAGCATTCATTTGACTCTTGAGCACATATTGTTGAGAATGTTACAATGTTCTAGTTACATGGTAACTTGAAGAGTACACTAAGTGAAAAACACAGTCCCTGACCTCCTGGACTATCCTGAAATAACAATCTCAGTTTACAACATTTGTGTTACATCTTAAGTATTACATTCAGTTCTGCTTAGTTTACTTAGAAGATAACAGAATCTAACAAAAGAGAATGATACAATTTGAAACTAGGTCACCAGGTCCAGATATACTTAGCCTAGGGAAAAAACAAAGAATTCAAGCCAGGCACTGGTTGTGGCTCATGCTTGCTACTCC